CTGTGCATTTAGTCCACCATCTGGACTCCTCCAGGGACAGTTTATGTTGCCTGGTTTTCTTTCCTTTTTTTCCCTTCTGTGTGGGTCGAATTCTCCTGTTTCTTTGCCCATCTCATAGTTTTCAGAAAACTGCACATTTTAGGTACTACAGCAGCTCCTGTCATGGTGCTGTCGTTGTTCGGTGATTTGGCTGGACCGAGTCAGTAGATTCTGCTTCCCCTATTGTTGCCAGTGGGCACAGCCTTGTCATGGCCAGTCTGACAAGCAGATTGTTTGGTTGCTGTGTCAGCTGAGTTCTCCTTGGTCTTTCATCTTCCTGCTAAAACCTCTTCTGCTGGTGTCTCACCAGCTGCTAGCCCCGGTTAGTTACTGCCCAGTCTCTCTATCGCTTTCAGCAATACTGCAAGGTACTGTCTTACATACTGATCCACTCTCATGCCTGGCCTCTTTCCAGCAAGGTATTGTCAGTTTTTGAGGCTTGCTCTAGACACAGGGAGGCTCTTCTTGGTCTGTTTGTCTAGTTCTGTTAAACATCTGCCTGGTCAACTGTTTTGTTTGTTGCCGCTTGTATTATTGAATCTCTGGCTAGTTTTATATCTACTTGATGCAAAGCTGGAGTCATTTTGGAAGGGACCTCAACTGAAAAAATGTCTCTACCATATTGGCCTATGGGTGCCAATATGCGGTGGTGCATTTTCTTGATGTATTATTGATGCAGAAGTTCCCAACTCACTGTGGGCAGTGCCACCCCTGGGCTGGTGGTCCTGGGTACTATAAGAAAGTAGGCTGGGCAGCTCAGTGGTTAAGAGAAAGCACTGCTCTTGTAGAAGACCTGAGTTTGGTTCCTGGTATCCACATCCAGATGCTCACCTGTAACTTCAGCTGTAAGAGAGTCAATTCTTCTGAGGATACTGTATGCATATGCACATACACATGCCCATATACATATAATAATAACATCTAAAAAATACATAGAGGGAGGGAGAAGGAAAGAAAGAAAGAAAGAAAGAAAGAAAGAAAGAAAGAAAGAAGAAAGAGAAGAAAAGAAAGGAAGAGGGCTGGAGAGATGGCTCAGAGGTTAAGAGCACTGACTGCTCTTCCAGAGGTCCTGAGTTCAATTCCCAGCAACCACATGGTAGCTCACTACCATCTGTAATGAGGTCTGGCGCCCTCTTCTGGCATGCAGGCAGAAATGGAAGGAATGTTGTATACATAATAAATAAATTTAAAAAAAAGTTAAAAAAAAAGAAAGAAAGAAAAGGCAAGGAAAGAAGGAAGGAAGGAAACAAGCAAGCAGGCTGAGCAAGCCATTAGAAACAACGCAGTAAGCTGTTTCTGCTTAAGTTCCTGCCCTGACTTTCCAGGATGACAGATTAAAAACTGTAAAATGAACCAGGCGGTGGTGGCACATGCCTTTAATCCTAGCACTCAGGAGGCAGAGGCAGGTAGATCTCTGAGTTCAAGGCCAGCCTGCTCTACAGAGTGAGTTCTAAGACTGGCCCCAAAGCTACAAAGAGAAACCCTGACTCGGAAAAAGAAAAGAAAAGAAAAAGAAAGCTGGAAGCTGAAATAAACCCTTTTCTTCCCCTGTTGCTTTTGGCCATGATGTTTATTAGAGCAACAGAAGCCAACTAAGCTCTAGCGTGGCTAACCCAAAGATCGCCATTGTTTCCTACAAAGTGCTCAGCCATGAGCCCATCTGCCAAATAAAGTCAGTCCCTTAGGCCGCTGACCAGTAGATAAATGGACATAGAATGGGAACAGTAGATCACCTTTCGTGTAGTGGCATCCCTGATGTACAGGTGGGATGTTCTACAGGTACTGTGGTCCTTGGCCTTCACAGCATGACCTCGCAGCTGTAATACATTCTGATGCTTCCTTACCCTCCCCTTCCCTTCCAAGACAGGGTTTCACTATGTAGTCTAGGCTATTCTTAAATGCTCAATCCTTCTGCCTCAGCCTGCTGAGTTTTGGGGCTACAGGTGAAACTCAGATATGATGAGAGAATCCTGGGTATTCTCATTTTCCTTATGAGAAAGCAAGTGTGCTGTGCTTCTGGGCTCAGCCTTCGATGCTACCACAGTGGCTGCCTGTGGGAATCGGGCTGGATTACCACCTTCTTTGTTCCGTTTTCTTTGTTGTTTTTGTTTTTGACCTTTGTTTTGTTTTTCAAGACAGGATTTATCTGTTTAACAGGGCTGACTGTCTTGGAACTCACTTTCTAGGCCAGACTGGCTTCAAAGTCACAGAGATCCACCTGCCTCTACTTCCCAAATGCTGGGATTAAAGGCGTGCGCCACCACCAACCATCTTGGATTATCACCTTCATAAAACATGTTAATAGTTAATTGTTTTTATTAGTTTGTGTCACAGTGGATCAAAACAGTGCTTCTCAACTTGGCAACTGGAAACCAATCCCATGAGCTTGTTAGAGTTCAGAGTGACAAGATGGGTCTGGGGTTGTCAGCTCTGCATTTCCCACCAGGTCCCAGTGCCAGACACAGAAGGAGCCCAAAGGCGATCCTCAGCGAGGAGGTGACCTATGACACGATAGCTTCTCAGTTGGACGTACCAAGGAGTAGCTCGCCTCCCCCACTTGTGAGGGTCATTATGTGCTACATACAGGCCTCAAACATGTATGTTCCCAAGGATGAATTCAAATTCCAAATTCTCCCGTGTCTACCTCCCAAGTGCTAGGATTACATATGTACTTAATGCCACTGAACTATGTACTTAAAATGGTTAAAATAGAAAGTTTCATTATGTATATTTTACAATACAGGAAGATAGGAAATGAATTGAGGCTGGTGAAATCACAGTGTGTATAGCTATATAATCTCACGCATGAAAGCACCATAAGAAGATCTAAACAAGAGGAAGCACAGTCCTTAGTAAAGGAGAGAAATGAAATAGAGAAGAAAAGAAAGGGATGAAAACCGTAGTGTCTGGTATTTCTGAACTGGATGGAAACATCCTGATCTGCTAGGAAAACCCACATTCTTGAGAGGGCCCCACGCTCTGTGACCGTCACTATCAATTTTGGAACTGTATTGAAATTGAAGCTCCCAGAACTTCATGGACTAATGGGTCCTTCCCAACAGGACAGAGCCAAAGCCCATACCCTGAACAATAGGTTACGGAAGCAGCTGGCAGAGTTCCGGGCTCCCCAGGTGATGATGTACGTCAAGGAGAAGATCTTGAATGGGGAACTGGAGAAGACCATCAAGATGTGGGAGAGGAAGGTGGAGATCGCAGAGGTGAGTCTGTTGTCCCCAGGCAGGACTGAGTCGCTGACCTGGCCTTGGTGACAGGGGATCGCCAAGTATCTCAAACCACCAACATCTTCCTTCAGGATTTGTTTATCGGGCTGAGGTTATAAGGATGTTGGACGTGTTGTGTGCATGAGAAATCTCTGCAGTTGTTTCAACTGTTCAACCAAAATGAATGGTGCATCCCCCCCCCCCCCCGCCAACTAAGCTCCCACTTTTAATGGTTAAGAACAATGTCCTTTAGGGTCTGGGAGAGAGAGATTCTTGTTACCCAAGTGTGTTTAGTCGCTTGCTTCTGCGATGAATTCTAGAATCTTGTGAATGCCTCCATACTGTGGGTATTTAGTAACTACTACTTCTTCCATGGAGAAGGCAGTTTTTAAGCAAAGGAGAAGCTGCACACTTGGTGGCAGGCCCCTTTAGTCCCACGCTTGGAGGCAGAGGCAGGCAGATCTGTGTTTGAGGCCAGGTCTCCATAGTTAGTACATAGTTCTACAATGTACTCAAAACTACAGAGTGAGGTCCTGTTTTAGAGAGGAGAGGAGAGAAGAGGAGAGGAGAGGAGAGGAGAGAAGAGGAGAGGAGAGGAGAGAAGAGGAGAGAAGAGGAGAGAAGAGGAGAGGAGAAGGAAAAAAGAGAAAATAATGGGTTTTTAATGGCTCTCAGAACACAAGTCCATGCATTTACATAGTTACTATGGGTCTCTATGAGTCGACGTGCGTGTAGATCTCATGGTGGTCTGCACACGCAGGGTATAGATTAAAACCTGTGTGAGCTGCTGGGGAAACTGAGATCTTTCTACATCTAGACCCCAGTTCCATTTCCCTCGTGTGGTCGTTGGTGACAGGGAGGATGCGAGGGCCCTAACTTGGCATACAGTATACCTGAAAGTGAGCAGAGACTCCAACAGGGGCCTGCACCATCTCGCTGTGGGCAAAAATACGCTCTTTAAAACAATCTTTTGGGTTATTTTTTTTCTGCTGCTGCTTTTTTCTTTTTTAATTTTTTTCTTTCTCTCTCTTTTTTTCCTTGGGAGACAGTGTGCCAGGGTATCCCAGTCTATTGTCCCCTAATTCTGCCTAATATGTAGCTAAGGATAAGCTTGAACTTTGACCCCCTCTCCCACCTCCTAAGTCCATCACTACTCCAATGTATAGCGGGTGCTGTGGATTAGACGCAGGGCTTTGATCATGCTGGGCGCGCACTATAGCAACTGAGCTACATCCCGGGCCCTAGAAAGGTCTTCTGGGTCTCCATTGCTCTATGATGTCTGCCCGTAGGGTGCACCACGGGACCTTGGCCCCTCACAGGGTCATCCGCATGGCCAGCAGTTTGTAGATGGCGGTGGTCAATAGCACAGACACACACACACCATTTTTCCCAAGTAACCTTCTCCCACCCCCACCCCCCTTTTTTGTTTTGTAGATGTCTTTAAAGGGGTACCGAAAAGCCTGGAATAAAATGAAAACATCGGATGAGGAGCTACAGACGATCCGGCCCCCAGGGAAATAGCCAAGAGCAGCCCATAGCTCGCAGACCCAGAAGTGACCTATTAAAGTACTCTAGTGTTTTCCAGTAGTGGGGTTCTCTCACTGTTTCCTGTGCCCAAATAGTGTTTATCCCCCCCTCACCCGTCACTACTAAGCCACCAGCAGGGCCACATCTACCCATGGGAACATCTTCCCAGCCTGGTCCCTGGAGCCATAACACTGAAAGAACCACAGGGCACTCTAACGGTTTGATACTTGTTAGCCCACATTTAGTTCACAAGCGTAAACGAAGTGACCTTCCCACATATGGGAGTGGGACAGAGCAGGGAGAGCCAGCCCAGTGATGCTGTGGGCCTGCCTGTGGTCTCCCAGGTGGCACCTATCAAAAGCGGACCCCAGAACAGGACCGTGGACGCCTAGCCCCGGGCGCTCCGAGCTTCTTGTCTGTGGGGAGATTAGCTGCTAGCTAGACACCGCTGCCCAAGAAACAAGCACGAGGGACATCAAGATCCTTTCTTGGGGCCAACACAGCCTGCTCTGGCCAGCTACAACCCCTTCCTCCCCCGCCTCCCCCCCGTAGTAGTCGTAGTACATGGGTTCAATGGCCACTTTTGCAGGCCAGCCTGATTCCTGAAGACCATTTGCCCTGAAGTTCTCCCCATTGTCTGTTGACTGGTTGTGCACAGTGGACAATTTTGGTCCTTGGGAATGGGATTGGGGCCGTTCAGCATGGCCATGTACAGAATACGCATTCTTTGTCCGGGCAATATTTGATTCGTCAAAAAGGAACTCAGGGGGCAACTTCTCCCAGGACTGGAGCGAGGACAGGGAAGTGCCAGCCTTCCTCGCCTTGGCCATGATCCAATCACTGTAGTCTTCCACACTGGTATACAGAAACATGCCAGGGCACGAGTCGCCTCCATAGGTCATGATTCCTTTGAGGACCCAGAGATTCAGCTTCTTTACTTGGCACATCACAGGGCTTCCTGGTTCCCCCTGCAATAAAGGACAGAGGGCTTAGGTTTGAGAAAACCTTCTTTTTCCGTAGATGCCAGAGGTCTGTTTTAGAAGGTTTTGTATTGATTCTCTCTGGAAACGGGCAAATTATAGTCTACCATTTCAAATTTAGACAGCCACCACCAACCACACCATGGGGATACTACTAGTCTCTCCTCTCCTCTTCTCTCCTCTCCCTCTTTCCTGTTTGCTTGTTTGAGACCTGCTCACAGATGACCTTGAACTCTGACCCCCCCCCCACTCAACCTCCTCATGCTGGGAGTACTACAACTGCTTTTTTTTAATGCAGAACTGGGGATCAAATCCCTGAAGCCAGGGCTTTATTTAAGGCAAGCACCCACCAGCTGAGCTACCTCCCCAGTCCAATTTTTCTTTGCATTATGCAAATTATTTGTGGCCTTGGCACCCAGATTGCCTGTAACTTCCTGGTTCATTTTTCACTGTCTTGGGTTTGCTAGCACTCTGATCTGGGGCTGTTGTGGGTCTCCCGTTCCCTAACCCACGCCCCAGCCGCTAGTAACTCCTGCTCACCAGCCCCGCCGTCCTGCCGCCTTCCCTTTTCCTGAGTAGTCCCCTGGGTCTCAGGCGCACACACCTTAACTCACGCAAGGTGAGAAGGCAGAGGCTTAGCACTCTGGACTGGATTTGGAACCTGCGCAGGTGACCTGATCCAATAGTGCCTGTAGCACATGCGGCGCAGGTACTGGGCACGCAGCGTGCAGTCAGTCAAGTATTAGGTATGACCGTCGCGAGGGCTCATAAAGGCTCTAACTTTTCTGTAGGGAGTTGAGGGAATGCAGAAAGTCCCAAGGTAACTACTAGGTTTCGTTTATTCCACGCCAGCCCCACCCCCCTTTCAAGCGCCAAACCTCCACTCGTACCTCCTGGTCCATCTGGGTCCGAGATAGGGGAGGACTATTCACCCTCCTGGATTGTATGGCCCCCTCGACTGGAAAAGCCAGGCAAGCTGGCCAACGGTACGTTACTCTTGCTGTTTGGACTGAGCGAGCAGTGAGCAGTGTGGCAAGTGATAACAGCAAACAGTTTGCACAAATTCAAGGGTGAGCAGCAGAGAGGCAAAGGTTGACCTTATCAGCCCCTTCTCATCTGCAGCCCCCCCCCCCCCCGGGGAATGGCCTGCCTGGCGTGTCCCCTCCCTGGATACCTCCCCTTGCTCAGGACGTGTGGGTAGAGCAGAGGTGAGGGTGAAGGGTAGGAGGAAGGGGTGCACTGAGAGCACGGCAGAGCTGAGGGGTGTGCTTTAAGACACTGTCACGCCTGGGTAGTCGTGAGAAGGCCCACGCCGGTTCCTGGGCGACGCAATGTGTGCGTGATTCTGTGCTTCACCCCAGGGAAAGGGCACACAGCAGCCCCGCATTTTCTTTTTTCTTTTCTTTTCTTTCCTTTTCCTTCCTTTCTTTCTTTCTTTCTTTCTTTCTTTCTTTCTTTCTTTCTTTCTTTCTTTTTTTTTTTTTGTAGTCTGCTGTGTCACCTCACTCTGCCAGTTGGCAGAGGGTTCAAATGTCGTTTAGAGTTTTGACTGGTCACTTGGGATTGCTGAACGACCATTGCCCGTGACACACTCAGGCTGCCTGGGGCGTAGTGAAGAAGGGATAGTCTCCACCCTTTCACGGGTCCCACCCCAACTTGGTCATCCTTGTGCTCGAGGAGGAAAATGGATGGGATTTAGGACACACAGTTTGATGTTTCTGACACAGTTGTGGGTACTGATGACCCCATCGAATGGTTTTGCTACTAACCCCTGGTACAGAAATAACCTCGTTTTTTGTTTTTTTTTCTTTTGTCCCTGCCCCTACTTCTTCCCCACCTGACAGAGCTGTGATTTCTGGTTTCTGAAGTAAAGGGATCAGAGGCCACCAACCCAGGGCCTTCGAGGCAGCTCTGTCTTACCTCCTGGTGTCTGGGGCAGCTGCCACACAGAGGAGCCCCTTTCACTGAGTGGTCCTCTCCCTTGACACCCCACAAAACCTCTAAGGGTTGTAAAAACTGAAAGGGGAAAGGTAAGGAGCAGTTCCACTGGGCCAGAGGGACCCGGTAGTCCGATTCAGAAGCTGGAAGTGTCTTCTCTGCCTGAGAAGTGCGGTGTTCAGGATCCAAACGCCAGAGCCCATTTCCACGAGGGGAAGCTTTCCAAATACTGAAGTCACCAATAGATATTTTGTGAGCAGAATTCAGTTCAAAAGCTAAGGGTTAGTGGCTCAGGATGGCTCCGGATACAGTACACGCTGAACCAGAGTGAGGGCAAGAACTTGGGTACTGAGAGTCCATGTGGGCTCAGGAGGCTGACGGGGACACACAGCCAGACTAGCGGTATCAAGGGACCACACTGTAGGGTTCTGAGGACTTTCTGCCAACTGTTATTCCTACCAGAGACACGAACCCGTGGCACCGGCCCTACCGTTCACTCCCCATTCTGTAAGGAAGAGCTCCCAAGACCCCTTGGTGCAGCCAATGATCAATGATTACTTTCAAGAGCTAGCTTCTACTGTGTCTTCTTACCAGGCAAACTTTGTATTCCTTATTCGTGTGACTGGCACATTCTGTTTTCTGGTCTCTTTGTAAAGGACACAGGTCAATGTCTTTCACGGAGATTCTCCTCAGGATACTCATTGTCATGTGATTTCCTGTCTGGACCATGCAACAGAGAGCCCAAGAATTACTAACAAGAAGGCAGTCCTGAGTCAACCCACTAGCAACTCGCATAGCCAACCAGGAATCAACAGAAAATGTCCCTATACGTCCCTTTTACCCATAGAAATCAGAACTTGTGTCTGAGTTTTTACTGGAAACTATCTTTGCTTTGAATTGAAATCTGCAAGCAAGCAGAGAACAATTCACCCTTCCTTCACACTTAAAGAACATACATTTTCGCCGGGTGGTGGTGGTGCACACCTTTAATCCCAGCACTCGGGAGGCAGAGGCAGGCGGATCTCTGTAAGTTCGAGGCCAGCCTGGTCTACAAGAGCTAGTTCCAGGACAAGCTCCAAAGCTACAGAGAAACCCTGTCTCGAAAAACCAAAAAAAAAAAAAAAAAAATTAAAAAAAAAATACATTCTCTTGTTTCATTCTTGTCCGAAATGGGTGGCTTAGGTAAGAATGTGCTCAGCCCGAGTCCCCTTACTCCTCCCAGTGCTTGGTAGGCAGCATGCTGCCTGTATACTTCCTGGGTATAGAACTAAAAACAAAAAATATGGCCTGTGGAATATGGTACAAAAAAAGACCCCAGAAAGGCAGCCACTAGGAATCAGCTATAAAACCTCAAGTGTTCTGAACGATTAGGATAGGCCCTAGAGACGTTCCTCTGAGTCCCCCACCCCCACACACTGCCAGCACACACACAGCCTCCTCTAGGGGAAAGAATGCATTAACTGCAGACGTGGGGTTCCATCCTGCCACCCAGCAGTTCTTCAAGGTTGGTGGTTTCTGTAGCCTTTTGTCCAGGAAGCAGATGGCCTTGACCATGTCATCGAAGTGTATGGCAGATTCTGTCCTCAGGAGGGCTATGTCATTGCTGCTGGAGCTGTTAATGAAGTTCTCGTGGGGGATGATGGTGCTGACTGGGTACTCAGTGTGATCAACCTTTCTGGGGTCCATGTTCGCTATACCGACAACAGCAATGACCTTCTTCCTAGAGGGACAGACAGCAAAGGCCTTTTGAGAAGTCGAGGCAGCCACGAAGCTTCACACTTCCCTCATCTCTCATTTTTTCTTTTCTTTTTTCTTTTTATATACATTGGTGTTTTGGCCATGGGTGTCCAGTTCCCCGGAACTGGCTTTACAGACAGTTGTGAGCCAGCATGTGGGTGCTGGGAATTGAACTCAGGTCCTCTAGAAGAGCAGTCAGTGCTCTTAACCACTGAGTCATCTCTCCAGCCTCATTTCTCATTTTTTATGTTTTTATTTCTCAAACTGGCATTCTCATCCAACTCAATCCCTGGGTATTTTGTCTTTGTTTTTAACGTGTGTGTGTGTGTGTGTGTGTGTGTGTGTGTGTGTGTGCGTGTGTGTGTGTGAACACACATGTGCATGTGTGTGTGTGAATGTGTGCCACTTGTGCCTGCCAGAGTCAGAACGTATTGGGTTCCTTAGAGTTGGGGTTAGCAATGGTTGTGAGCTCCTCGATGGTGCTGGGAACTGATCTTGGACTCTCTGGAAGAGCAGGGAGTGCTCTAACTGCTGAGCCATTTCTCCAGTCTCTAGTTTAGTTTTTACTCATACCTTTGAACTCAGTCTCCAGGGAATCTCTTCTGAATTTCTAGGTTGTGCTCTCTCTTGTGAGCCCAATATCTTGGGGGGATTCTTCTGTTCTGATAACCATTTATCTTATCATGCAAAGATCGTTTGTTCACATGTTTTTGGGTGACTTTTCTGTATGAATAGGTTTTTTTTTTTAAAAAAAAACATAGCTCAGTGGTTAAGAGCACTGCCTGCTCTTTCAAAGGTCCTGAGTTCAATTCCCAACAACCACATAGTGGCTCACAACTATCTGTAATGAGAGCTAGTGCCCTCTTGAGGAAGAGACCTGATCAGCTGTCCTCATCAACTTAGACCATGAAACCCAATATGAACAAGTTCAACAGAACTGCCATATACGGACTGCCCATACATGCTTCAGCATTGCCAGGGCATAAATTTCATTCATTCATTTAATTTCAATACAAAATATGTAGTCATGACTCTCACTCACTGCCTCAACACCTAACATCATTTTTTGTTGTTTTTTTTTGTTTGTTTTGGTTTGTTTTTGTTTTTTTGAGATGGGGTTTCCCGTGTAACAGTCCTGGCTGTCCTGAAACTTGCTTTGTATAACTGGGTGGTCTCAAATTCACAAAGATCCACATGCCTCTGCCTCCTGAGTGCTGGGATTAAAGGTTGACACTTCCACTTCCCAGTCACTTGGTCCAGCATCTCGCCTCACATACTCTGTGAGTGCATTTAGGGAGGATATGGCTTTATAGCAGCAGGAGTAAGTTGGGTGTTCTCTACCTCTCCCCTCGGGACTCATCCAAGAAATGATACCAATGTAAGGCAGATGCATACACCCTAAAACCATAAAGAGGACTCAGCACTCCGCCATCTGAGCAAGGGCTGGCGCACCCAGCAAAAGACAACCGGGAGTGGCAGGTGACACCTGCTGACGCTGAGCTCAGCAGCAGGCGGGTGAGAAGGCTCTCAGCAGAAAGACAGATAAGAGAGCAAGTCCTCTTCCAGCAGGAGGAGAATGGAAAACAATGAAAGACTTAGAAAGTGGGCTGGGAACAGTGACCAATGAGACAGAAGTCAGCTGAGTTGTCTTGTGTGTCTGCTTTCATTTTCTTTTGTATGTGTGCGGGACATGCATGTGTGTGCACATGTACGAAGGCCTGAGGTTGATGCTGGGAAGTGAAGGAAGCTGGTCCTTCACTTTCTTCATCAAGGTGTGAGCTCACGCCCAGAGCCCTCACACAGTCTCCCTAGGCGAGAAGAGTTAGGTCGGGCAGAGCTGTGTGGAGCTGGTGAGGGAACAATCTGTGCTTTGCCTCAGAGGCACATAGACCCTACTTCATCTTACCCCGCCCCCCGCCCCAGTGTCAGTCCTGGCACCAATGAAACCCAGCTGGAGCCAGGATGCCAAAGTAAATGCGCTGTCACCCACACCAGAAGACAGTGTTGATCACTAGTCACAGATGGGAGGATCTGGCATAGCAGGACATGCAGTCCAACGAAGATGAAAGCATTCTAAGGTTGAGCAAACGCTTCATTGTCTAACCCATGAAACTCATGAAGATGAATGAGGGTAATGGCAGAAGCTGGGATCGCAGGGTGAGCCAGGCATCTCCTGGGTAGATAAGCATTCATAACCATGCTGCTTAAAATCGGAGTCACCTCAGACGTATTTAATACCAGAAGCCAGGGTGGCAGTGGGAGGGGCAGAATGATGCCTACAGAGTCTTCCATGGTCACGGAATGTGAGTCATAAATAGGACAAAAATTGGGAGTGAGGGGGTTCTACAGAAATATCTTGCCATGATCTCAAAAAATGGGACCGCAGTTGGTAGCAAGGCCTTTATTTTCATATTTGGAGATAGAGGTACCTAGGGCCTAATCCAGTAGGACCAGTGTCCCCTTCCCTTTTAAAAAAAAAACTTTTCTTCTTTTCATATGTGTGTGTGTGTATATATATATATATGTATGTATGTATATATATACATATATATATATACATATGTGGTGTGTATGTGTGTGTGTGTGTGTGTGTGTGTGTGTGTGTTGGAATGAGGTTGATGTCAGGAATCTTCCACGTCTCTCTTCTGTCTTACTCTCACACAGAGGAAAGTAGCCATGTGAACACACACCTAGAAGGCTTCTGTCCATACATCCAGAAGGCAGCAAACCTGCTGACCCTCTAACCTTGGACTCTCTGGGCTAAATCATCCAATTTATGATATTGTGTTATGGAAACCTAAGCTGACTAGGCGAGAGACTCCGGAGGGAAAAGGTAACCATCAATATCAGCCAGCTATAAACCCTGACCTACAACAGCAATCTGCCTGCAAAATATAATGCTGCAATAGTGGCACAGATATCATGGGAGTAACCAACTACTTTGGGGTTGCTGAATTTAAGGCCAATTCCATGAGTTAGAACCCATGCCATACACAGTGGCCAAGAACCTGAGACTAGATAGGTCATGGGCCTAGGGGGAAACCTAGTATAACTATTCTGCTAAAGGAACATAGAAATAAAATGACTCCTGATGGCATATTCATAGATCTGTGCCTTGATCAACACATTAGAGAAGAGTTTTCTTGTAGTAGGTGGGAGTTAAGACAGAGACCCACGACTGGACAATGTGCAGAGAATAAGAGACTTAGGAACATTCATTCCCAAATGGGATGTGTTCATTAACCCCCTCCTCTCAAGGCTCAGGGGTCTATGAGGAAGAGGAAGCAGAAAGATCAATAGTGATATTTTATTTATGTTTTACTAAATAAAGCTTGATCAGAAAGGCAAAGTTAAGCCACTAGAAGTCAGGGAGTGGTGGCGCACACCTTTAATTCCAGGATTTGGGAGACAGAGGCAGATAGATCAAGGCCACCCTGGGCTACACAAGATCAATGTAGAAATAAATCCAGGTGATAGTGGTCTACACCTTTAATTCCAGTACTAGAGAGAGCATAAAATGAGAGGAGAGAGAGGCTTAGTTCGCTTAATCTGTGGTAGCCCAGCCTTGGTAGAGGAAAGACTTCTCTAGTGGCTTGGATGCTTTGCTTTTCTGGTTTTTGAGTTGAACCCCTATTTCTGTCTCTGGTTTTTCATTATTTGCACTACAAGATTGTAAGAGTCAGAGATAATGGACGACTCCAAGGAACCAATGTCTTCCAGATACAACAGAACAGGAGCACATACGAAGTCACAGAGACGGTGACACCACACACAAGACTTGTAGGTTCCAGTCAGACAGGATCCCAACACTGAGAGGAGGGAGTGGACACAGAAAATCCAAGGTTAGAGTGTTAGCAGGCTTGTTTCCTTCTGGACTTACAGCCCTAACCAACCGCTAATCAGTTGGTACCTGCTGGCAAAGGGGAAATCAGTGTATCAACCACACTCCAGGAAGGCCCCATGCCCAGGAGTAGTTAGCCAACACAAAACCAGATCAGTGATGATAATTTTGTAGACTTTTGGTTTCATTTTGTTTTGGTTGGCATTTTTTTTTATCTTATTGATTCTTTGCTTGTTTGTTTTGATTTTTGTTTTTGAAAGAGAGAAAGAACAAAGTTGAGTAGGTAGAGAGGCAGAGAGGAGTTGGAGGAAGGGGGAAAACATGATTAAAATGTATTTTATGAAAATATTTAATAAAAAAATAAAATGCCACAGGAAGTCTATTATTTTATATGCATACTAGAAGAATAATAAATTTAAAAATACACAAAACAAGTATTAAAAATTCAGCAGCTAAAGAATATTCTAACAGGAGTTTACATTATAATTTCTTTAGCTGATTAAACTATTCTTTCAGGCTGGGGAGACAGCTCGGTGAATAAAGCACTCACTATGCAAGCATGAGGACCGGGGTTTGGATCCCTAGGATCCACATAAAAGCCAAGTGTCCTGCCTGCTATTCTAGCACCCAGGAGGCAGAGATAGGGAACTCTGGGCAAAGCCCAGCCAAATCAGTGAGCTTCAGGTTCAGTGAGGGACCCTGCGCCAGTAGAGAGCAATGGAGGAAGATATCCAATGTCACCCCAACACATGCACACATACACATCACACGCCTGTGCACATTACACATGCACATGCAAAACCATCACAGGCTTTATCTTTCGCATCTATTATAGTAGAAATTAAGCTAGAAAAGGTTAAAGCACAAGAATGTGCAAGACCATGCATACATCTGGCCATCAGGGTGATGACATCACAAAACTGAAACTTTCTATACTTTCTTTATATATGCAATGGATATCATACTCTTTCACATACAGCATGCATAAGGAATTATATTATCACTGCTTATCTGTGATAACTGGAAATTCACTTTTCTTTGGCTGCTTTTTTGTTTTGTTTGTGTTTGTTTTTGAGGCGGAGTCTCATATAGCCAGGCTGGCTTTAAACTCAACATATAGCTAAGGGTAAAGAAACTTGAATTCTTGACCCTGCTGCCTCCACCTTCCAAGTGGTGGGCTCCCAGACCTGTGTCAAAATCCCACTTAGATATTTACTTTTATATTCTAGCATTTTCTGTGTAATTAGTGAACAACTTTGTGCGGGATAATTTCTTCCCCAGAGGTTGAAATTATCCCCTTACTGCCAATCCTCGAAAGTTAAGGTCGGCTATTGGACTAGAAGTGAAGTTTATGAAAATATTTTAGAATGTTTGCCAAATATTTTCTTTAATCATATTTATGATTGTTTTCTTTCTTAGCTGTAAGAATTTGAGCTTATGGTATATAATTTGGAGAACACAGACAAGAACAATTGGAGAACAAAGTCATGCTCTGAGCACCCAGAGAAAAGCATCTAGAGGCATATCTGATTTCCTTCAGTTTTTCTCTGGGTTCTTCTGTCTGTAGCAGTAACATTTACAAGGCCCAAGGAATCCTGCTGACTTCCTTAACTTATCCCGGAAGGACACCTGGTGGATAGAATTAAAGAATCCGCATCTCTGTAGTTGCGGCAAAATCCCAAATGAACTTGCTAGATACAACACATGACGCCTTGCTTTTCACTGGTGCCACTTCTGGGTCCTCATAGTAAAGTCCCAAGAGCCGCTGGTGACCTCAGGACCTTGACTCAGGCGAGCACACCCGGAGGTGTGTAGCCCCCACTAGTCCCCAAGGCCTGCAGCGGACCCTCCCAGCCCTTCCTCTGGGGCACTAGCCTGTCCTGGAGAGCGGAGGCGCTGCTGAGGATCCAGAACTCGCTGAGAATGCAGCCGAATGTCAGGTGGGTGTACTCTTGGTCCTGTATGGACACCACCCAGGGGAACTCGGTGCTGCTCACGAGGTTCTCCTTGGACTCGTCCTTGATGTTGGCTTTCTGGATGCCGCAAACTGCAGGGGGAGCAAACGCCTCACTATGTGGCACCTGGGGGTCCGGCTTTCATGTGGGTGCTGGGAATTGAACCCAGGTTGTTTGGAAGAACAGCCAGGGCTCTTAACCACTGAGCCATCTCTCCATCCCTGGGAAGAGAGTCTCAAAGAAGAATTATCTAGATAAGATTGGATTGATAGCATGTCTTAATTGCTAGTTGATATAAGAACAACCATTCTGCTTTGGACAGCACCAAGAGGGGGTCTTTAACTGTGTAAGAGTGAAGAAGCCCCGGGGGTGCTGGAATATGCCTTGAATTCCAGTACTCAGGAGGCAGAGCTGGGGGGCCTCTATGAGTTTGAGGCCAGCCTGGTCTACATGGAGAGTTCTAGCCACTCAGGAGCACATAGCAAGACCCTGTCCAAAGCAACAACAGCAATACAATGAAAGCAAAGAAAACCAGCTGAGTGAGCAAGCAGGCAGCATTCGAGCGTGCGCTCCTCTCCCCCTGCTCTTGACTCTGGTGTGATGTGGCTAGCTGCTTGAGCCCCTCAGGAGAGGTCTTTAGAATCTAAACTAGGACAATGCCCCCAAAGCAAAAGTGGTTTAGGGGTCCCCAAGAACTCAAGAACTCAACAGGTCTTGAGCATGGCCAGCATTTTTACTCCTTGGAACAACTCACCCGTAATCCCGGAGGTGGGCACTGCTAAAGTGGGTGGGAGCTCCAGCTTTAGGGCAGTGCTCTAGACACACCCTCCGCCTCGGATTCATGCTCCCCTTTCCCTGCATCCTCTGCATCCCCGGCAAGCAGGTGGCACTCATGGCTCCTCACACCCGATCTGTTTTGCTTGTCAGTGTGTCTCTAGGAGCTAGCGGGTGCCTAGTGTCTAGGTGGTGCTTGATAAGTTATCTGGTGCGTGAGTGAAATGACTCTACTGCTATCTACTCCCCGGCCTCCTGTCATGAAGGAGTTAAGTCCTGGCGTGGGAAGGTTGTCTCAGGTCCCCTTCCCAGTCCTGCTCATTCTCTGCCTTCCAGACTGTCCGGCGCTGAGCACCTTCTGGGAACCCTGGACTTTGCTCCTAGGGAGAGTCCCGTGGTGTTTAAATGATATCCCTCTTCTGCCAGCCTGAGTTTGGAGGGACCTGCATTGTTCTTAAAGTTGTATACTCATGCAAGCGTAGAGACTATTAGAACAGGAAAGGTCATGGAGGTAGAGAAGGGAGGATGAGGCAAGGTCAGAAACTGACTTCCTTACAGTGCTGGGTGGGGGTGAGCTGAGCCCCAATTTGCCAGGCATCCTAAATAAGAAGATGGCAACTTCATGAACTATGTTGCTCCCCAAAACTACTGACTCCCTCCGTTGGCCCATGTCCTCCCTCAGCGGTTTATATACTTTGTTCTGTTGAATTCCAATGCCCATGGGACTCCTTAGCTCCTGACGGAGCCAGGGTGTAGAGGTTCTCCACCCTAAGAGCATCTGCCATCTATCAGAATCTCCTGTCATCGCACCCAGGGTACCCTGACATAGATTTGGGAGGAGCCTAGAAGCAGACTTGAAAGTCGAGTCAGTCTGTTAGTATGCTATGAGATCTCAGGCAAGCCACTGTCCTCTCTGGTGCCGTTTCCTCTTCTGAAGGGTATAGTCATGGCCTATATACCACTTGGGATTGTTACCAGATCACAAGAGAAGATTATGGGAAAATGTAAACTCTATCTCTGTAAATGATAGTGCTGAGCCTTGGAGCAAAACTGGCAATCCTGTTTCCAAAAATGCAATCTTCCTGATTGCTTTCAAATCCCAAACTACAAACACTCAATGCTTACTTCTGGGTTGATGGCCTTGGGTCTCTATGCTGTGTAACAGACAGGCCCTGTGCCGTGGACTCCCAGTGAAGGCCTTTTCAGTCGTTCGGCCGCCTGCACAGAGCACTGGCTTGGGAACTAAGCTTGGAGGTATGGACTTTGGGAGTCCGTGACAGTGACACTTGAAGGACTGGTGTCTCTCCAGGGAGCTAGGACCCAAAGGATGTGCTGAGTATTCAGAAGAGAAAACAGGAAGAGTGGAAGGGCTTCTTCTGGTAGTGACCTAGGATGCTGGCAGCAGAGACATTTCCAAAACAGGGAGTACAGTCATCATTCACAGTGTTGTCAAGAACTCAGAGAGAGCTAGGTATGACAGTATGTGCCTTTAATCCCAGCACTTGGGAGGCAGAGGCAAGTGAATCAAGGCCAGCGTGGTCTCCCTACTGAGCACCAGGCTAGCCAATGCTACATAGTTAGACTCTGTCTGAGAAAAAAAGCAAAATAAAACAAATAACAAAAAAGAACCAGAGGACCTCTCATTATGGGGTATCTTGAGACCAAATGTCCATCCATAGACCCTTACACAGACTTCTGGGACAAAACTAAGAATACTTCAGAAATGCCAGCAATGACATCCCTTGTCTAGGGAAGATTTTTCTCTGGCAACATTGATGATTTGCAGTATTAGCCAATCCTTCCCAAGCCAAGAACCTCCATGTATGTGACAGCATTCCTTTTTCCAAAACGCTATTTGGGTGCTGGGGAAGCAGCTCAGTAGTAGAGTCCCTGCCTTGTGCCCGATTCCACTGCTAATGCCATGATGAGAAAATGTGGTCCAGACCAAGTGTTTGTTCTGGGTCTCAGCTATGGCTTAGTAGGAGAGATGTCATGTCTGTGTTTCTGAACATCCCTGGTCTCCTTGACAGGGAAGAGGAGACTGAGGAAGGTGTGGGGTCTTTGCATAGTGTGTGTGTGTGTGTGTGTGTGTGTGTGTGTGTGTGTGTGTGTTCGCCGATCAAACCAAAGGCACCGAAGGTAGACAGAGCCTACCTGAGTCATCTGTCCCTTATACATCTGCCTTTTTCCAAACTGGGCTTTTTAGTCCTGAGCAGCCTACAGGTCATGGAGGAGGGGACCATAGCAGCCACTTCTGCTGCCCGAGAGCCCGAGACACCTCTGCTGCTGTGGTACTCGCTGGTCCTGATCAGGATCACAGTTTGCAGAGCCCAATGTACTCCAGGGGTGGGCAGGGTTGAACTGAGTGTAGGAGGTAGTCCTCACACTGACCCCTCTGCTCCATAGGCCATTCTGTGCCCTAGAACTGATTTTCCTATCTCACACCCTTAGAATCAGACGTACATGCAAGCCCTGGGGCTCTGCATTTCCTAGATCCTGTCATTCACACATGCCACCCAGGACAAAATTCTGGGGATTGCCTTCCTTGCCGAGTGAATCCCTCTCTAGGCATTAAGGGCCACTCCATTTTCCGGGATGATGCCTCCACCCCACTCACCCCACGGAAGGCCTTGGGAAGGGAGCAAGGGCCACTCCATTTTCTAGGATGACGCCTCCACCCCATCCCACCCCACGGAATGTCTTGAAAAGGGAGCAAGGGCCACTCCATTTTCCGGGATGGCGCCGCCAACCCACCCACCCCACGGAAGGCCTTGGGAGGGGAGCTGCACACTCACTGGCAGAAGACGAGCGGGCCACGTACAGCAGGACCAGCAGCAACCCTCTCATCTCTGCCATTCCCAGAGAGAAACGCAGCGAGCACCATGGGCAGCTGGGGAAGACAGAAGACTCGTGACTCCATCACCTTCCCACACCTGGAGGGGGAGTTCCCTTGGAAGAAGCCACCAAAGGTCCCCAGATGAGGCAGACTGACCTGTCACATCCCCAGCTCTGGGTTCTGTGCAGAAAAGGCGGGAAGCAACTGTCTGGCTCCAATGCTTGGCTAGCAGTTTGTGAGCGGGCCCAAGGAGAAAGGGTAGTCTGCTTTCTCCAGTTTCCTCCGCAGAGCAGCCTGGGGCCCTGGCTGTGCTAGAGAGTTGGTTCTCTAAAGAGGGTTGGCTTTTGATTTGTGGAATTCAACCCCTGCTTTAACTGTATAGCCAGAAAACACTGCTGGGAAAAAAAAAAAGAGAGAGAGAGAGAGAGGGTTTTGGTGGGCGTTCCCCTAGGGGTTAGTGTCTCACAGGGACACCCTCCCTATTAAAACTCACATCAAGTCTTGCTGGGATGTCTTCACTAGCAACAGTCTCAGCATTTAGCTCAGTCCGTTCATATAGCCACCCTAGACACAGGCGCTCTCATAATCCCCGTTTTTACAGACTCAGAAACTGACACTCAGAGACTCCGAGGAACAGGCCCAAGGTCACACGACAACTAAGCAGTGAACCTGGAAGGTGAGCTCAAAACTCTCTGAGCCTCTAAGCCAGTGGTGGCTTCACGTCACATCCTGGCCTCAAACCGTGCATCGTGACCTAAGAAAACCGTGTGCACAGTTCTAAGTCACCATGTTCCCCTCGTGACATGAGATGTTTCTTTTGCTCTTAGCATGGTGCTGCGAGTCCTTCTGTGAACTGTTCCCACTAACGAAGAAATGAACTCACTGTGGCCTTATGCAGGAGAGCTCTGCAGCGGAATTTCTTCTGCACCTTGGGAAGAATGTTCCATTGTGGTGTCATGGTTACCACGGCATCTCTCAGCAAACATTTGGATTTAAGAGAAACAGGGTGAAACCTGGCCTCGATGAGGTTATTCTGGAGGATGCCTTCTGGGTATGGCTGCAGAGCCTCCCCCTTTGCGAGATGACAAGGTCCTTGGTTGTAGCCGCAGGCTACCCTGCTCCTCACCTGCCTCCCCTTAGACAAACTGCCTGACAGACCGAGCGTGTCTCCAGTCCCTCGTACCACCAGGTTGGTTTCTTGGAGACGGAGCCTATTTTTCTTCCTCCATGATCTCAGCTTATGGGTCCAAGCCAAACCACTGGACAGGTCCTAGGAAACCTCATAGCCTGGTGGGTTCTGCTCTCCAGTTGCTGGGAGAAGCCTTGGTTTCCTACAACTGCTAGGACTGGATGAGTATTGACAACGTCATTGTAAAACAGAAACATCGGAGAGGGCTGGCGGGCTGCTGGCATGGGCTCTCAGGAAAGATTCACTTGGTGGGCAACAGTGACCATAGAGAGGTTTGGGGAGTTGGAATGGGAATCCTAAGAAAGTGGTGGCTGTCCCCTGCTCGTCCCTGATGTCCTCTGGGGAGTGGGTTTGGACACGAGGACTGATCTGTCCATCATTTGCGGCTGAAAGGCCTCAGGACATTTCCTGGGCATTTTCTTATTTCCCTGGAAGAACAAAGGAAATGCTCCCAAGAGAAGGACACAGTGGCCCAGGCCGGTCACTTCCACGGTCATCCACCTGGGGGTTGGCATGGGAAGGGTGAACCCAGATGCGCCCAGCCCAGAGGTGGTGAGCCAACTCTGTGAGTTTCCCTGCCAGGCTATGACTGCTTTTATCAGCGGTAGGAGCAGAGACAGGAAATGGGACAAAGCTACAGCTTCTCTCAAGGGGGTGGGGACTGGTAAGTGATCTTTTCTTGAGGAGTCTGTTTCTATTCACCCCAGATAGAGAGCATAGCAGCAGACAGAAGAAAGGATTTCATCCAAGTCTAGCCTGGTGAGCCAGCGAGTTTTAGGGTTACTCTCAGGAGGAGAGTGAAGCAGTTACTTGTCAAACCATGAACTTTAATCAAAAGCAATACTTTTTTGGAAAAGTCCGATACTTTTGAGGGAAATCTTCTCATTGATTCCTCTTTATGTTTCTGAAGCCAAGAGGCCACTGATCACCCCAAAGATGAGGTTTTGGGAAATGAAGTGTTATTTCCTTTACTCTCCACTATATCTGATAAAAGAAAATAATAATTGCCTGACCTAGCAAATAATCAGCTCTTCAGTGCCATACTCATAGCAGACATCACTAATCTAACACTGCACCCTGACTTGAACTCCGTCCATAGAATACTCACAGCAGACATGACTAATCTAACACTGTACCCTTACCCCCCCACACCTGAACTCCCTTCATAGAATTCTTCTCAGAATAGGCAGTCATTACCAATCAATCAGTCATTTCACAAGAAAAATCAAAGACTCACTTTCTTCTTCACAGAAAAGAGGTTTATTCAGCAGCTTCCAGCACTGAAAACAAGAATATACAGCCTACTAGTTCAACTAACTCAAAATATCAATTTCTGGGGCTGGAGAGATGGCTTAGTGGTTAAGAGCACTGGCTGCTCTTCCAGAGGTCGTGAGTTCAATTCCCAGCAACCATATGGTGGCTCACAACCATCTGTAATGAGATCTGGTGCCCTCTTCTGGCGTGTGGGCATACATGGAGACAGAATGTTGTATGCACAATAAATAAATAAATAAAATCTTTTTTAAAATATCAATTTCCAAACTAAACATTGTAAATGATTTGCGAAAAAAGTGAAAAAAATCATGGTTATGTTTTTGGATTAATTAGAGAATACACGGATACTTGAACTAATATCAAGTTTGTAGTAGTTTGTTAGTTTGACTTTGGAATTCAATAGTTTGAAATGTTTTGCAGAAATACTTTAGGGTTTTTCTGGCTATTTATAATGCCATTCCCACTACTTCTCTGACCTGGCAACCTCCCGTCTACCCCGCATCCCTATGCATTTCCCTCCGTTGAACACTCATCTGAACTGGAACGTGCGCTTGGCAGCCTTCGGTGTCTGATGTCTTTTATATGGAATGATGATTTCAATGCTGACCAAGTTACTGTGTGTATCAGTGCTTCGTTTCTTTATAACGCTGGCTAATAGTACATATATGGACACATATGTATGGACATGCATGTAATATTGCCACTGTTTATCCTCCTCTTACAAGAGGCTGTTTCTCCTCTGGGGCTCCTGGGAATAAAGGAACAATTCCTATTTATTTGACTTAAGTTTGTTGGGCCCTTGTCCTCATGGCGTCATATTCTCATCATAGCTTGGGCTTTTCTGGCCATTGTTACCCTATTTCTGCCCCTTTATCTCTCTCCCTGCATTACATGTATGTTGATGTGCTCTTGGCATCCCTGTTCATTTGTCTTTGTTTCTCAGGCCTGCTAATCTTGATTGATTTAGGTTAACAACCGTTCCCTCTCTTCTAGCCGGCTCCTGAAATGCTCCATGGAATCTTTTGGGAGGATGGTGATTGTGCTTTTCAGCTCCCAAATTCCTATCTGTGTCCTTTTTTATATTCCAGCTCTTTAGCTATTAATATTACCTCTCTGTTTTCTCACTGTTCCCATAATTTCTTTTTCTATATCTAGTTCTTTGACTATTCTGGAAATAGACAGTTGGTCTAGGGAGTGTAGCTCAGTGGCTGAGCCTGGGTTCATCCCTAGTGCCACATGTAGGTCCCCTGAATGCAGATTGTCCTTTCTTGGTTCCCGTAATTCTTTGAAAGTAGGGGCAGCACTTGGATCAGTTAAGACACCACAGAGCTAACTTTCCTGTGGGCTGACTGTTTTTTTTTCTAGGCATTCTTCTTGTTCCTTTAAGACCTTAGTTTCCAAAGTTCTGAAAAACTTAATCCTAATGATTTTTACTAGATTTTTCCATTGGTTTTTATGAAAGGACAGTCTTTAAGAATTTTTTAAGTGCATTCTATGTGTGGACAGACTTACAGTCAAGTTCCTTACACTGCCATTTTTACTAGTTCACCTTATTCATTCATTCATTTATATGGTGATAGATACACTTAGAAGCTCCCTCATCACCTAAACCTTTTCAACGGCATTGCAGTGGTGTTAATATATTAGTGTTGGGCAACTATTAGCACGGTTCTTCTCCAGGGCATTCTTTTTCTGAAGCAGGATATATGTATTACCCTATGTAATACATATATAGTATGTACATCTATGTACTACTATGTAGTAGTCCCAGAGAGCTGGCCTGGAGCTTACGTAGACCAGACTGGCCTCGAACTTGTGGTGATCCTCCCGCCCCTGTCCCTGACATGCTAAAATTGCAAGTGTGCATCACCACACCTGGTTCCAGAGGTCTTTCATCTTTTTAAATGGAACTTCACCTATCAAACCGTAACTTCCGTCCCCTTTGTCCACAGACAACTTTCTGTTTTCTGTCCTTAAGAGCTCTGATTGCTCTTGCAGAGGACCTGGGTTCAATTCTCAGCACCCACATCATGGCTTCCCATCTGTAGCTCCAGTTCTAGGGGACCTGACACCCTTACACAGACATACATGCAGGTAAAAAAAACCAATGCACATAAAATAAAAATAAATAAATTGAAAGTACTGAATGAATGAAATTTTTTTAAAATTCTGGTTACTTGTGACCCTGCACATAAGTAGGTCCACCCAGTATTTGTCCCTTTGTGTCTGCCATTTCATTTAACACACTGTCTTTACTGTCCAGTTGTGTTGCGGCATGTATCAGAATTCCATTCTTTATGTATTTGGTGGGGTGGGGCAGCTGCGGTTGACATCAGGAGTCTCCCTCAGTCATTCTCCAGTGTTTATGAGGCAGAGTCTCTCAGTCAAATCCAGAGTCTACCAATGAGGCTAGAATCCAGTCAGCTTGCTCCAGGGATCTCCAGTCTCTGCCTCCTGAGCCTTGGGATTCGATGTGGGTCACCACAGCCACCAGGCATTACGTGGTGTTTGGACCTCAAGTTTGCACCTTATCCTCTGAGTCATCAGCCTAGAGGCTTCACTCCCTTCCAAACACCACCTTGTATCTGACCATCCTTGGGTGATGGATAGGGCGTGTCCATCCTTGGATGCTGGTGGGTAACTCTCCAGATTCTGGATTTTAATTTTGTTAGACATGTACCCAGTTACATCTTATTTGTCAACTTGCTTTTGGGGCAGAGCTCATCATCCCAGGATGACCTGAAGGTTGCTATGTGGCAGTGGATGACCTTGAACTCCTGATCCTACTGCTTCCACCTCCCAAGTGCTGCCCTGTACCATATTTATGCTGGGGGTTGAACCCAGGAGTTGGTTAAGAGCACCGACTGCTCTTCCAGAAGTCCTGAGTTTAGTTCCCAGCAACCACATGGTGGCTCACAACCATCTGTAATGAGATCTGGTGCCCTCTTCTGGCAGGCAGAGATGCATGCAGATAGAACACTGCATACATAATAAACAAACAAACAAATCTTTAAAAAAATTAATGTTGCTAAAATGTTCATAACTATCAAAAATGTAATGGCTGCAAGTGTGGCAACACACGCCTTTTGTGAGGCAGAGGCAGATGAACCTCTATGTTTGAGGTTGGACTTGTTTTTAGAATGAGACCCTGTCTCAGAAAAAAAAAATCAGTATCATTGTTTTTCATAGAAACAAAAAATTCCTAGCATTCAAATGGAACCAGAGAAATCCTATATAAGGCAAAATTTCTTTGCTCCCAAATAACAGAGCTAGAGGTTGTTCACTCTTTGGTTTCTAAATGTGCCACAGAGTTTCGATAATCAAAGCAGTGTGGTGCTGGAATTGGAATCGGTATTTAGGCCAGTAGAATACAACAGAGTCCACCTGTATTTGTGGATAGTTGATCTCAATAGAGCTGCCAAGGGAACACAACGATGATTCAGTCCCTTCAGG